TTATTATTATTATTCTGCAGCCCTTTGGTGGTCCTTGGCCTCTTTTCTTTCAGTTTCCTGATCCTATACACAGTCGGTAGGACTCCTTGGACAGGGATCAGCCCATCGCAAGGCCTTTACCACAGACATCCATGTCTCGAGTGAGATTCGGAACCACTAACCCGGTGTTCAAGTGGGCGAGGACTGTTCATGCCTTAGACCACACGGTCACTGTGATCCTCAGTTTTCCTTTACAGCCAACAATGAACTATCGCACTCATAAATAACAATCTCTAAATTTGAATCCTTATATTCAAGATCAGAGATGGAGTATAAAGGCTGTGAACTTTACGGTGGCAATATACTCCAAATTCATTCCATGTCACTTCATGGTCCAAATGAAATCTCTGTCTCTTAATGATATTCAGAGGCCTATATCATAACACCGATGAGGCCGCGTTGCACTTTACGTGCACACCCACTTGTATTATAAAAATATTCATGCCCCTGCAATGATCCGACCGCACGTGAATATAAATTGGAACCATACATTTCATAAATATTCATTTAAATTAACTGTTGCCAGGTCGGTGGTACTTACAGCTCAGCAGTTATATGTCTGCTAGATTGTATCGATAATTCAAATGAATATGGTGTTATACTAATTTCATATTGTCACGTGTTCATGACTAGATACGGGATATTGATTGGTAATTGGATTTATTGAAAACGTATAAACCGTAACTACAAGTAATTATAGCACTCTTGCTAATTCGCGCACTCTACTTCTCACTAGAGCATACACTAATTCTTCTCAGTTTGTCTTAAGTAGCCGTTGCTGTGTAACGGATCCCAACAATGTGTTTTGTTTACGTCGTCCTTGTCGACTGACAACTATTTCACAACTAATCCAAGTGTCGGCTATCATCTCACGACTGCAGCTCATGGCTTTCTAGCCAAGGTTATCAACTCACTGACCGTCAACTACTACTACTGATTGCAACTGCTGATGGCAACTCGCTATATAGACTTGGCACAGGCCGTATAGGAAACACTGCCTCCAACAGCTCTTCTACTCTTGCGTGTTTATTCATTGCCTAAAGATACGTGTTTATCAGTCGTTACCAAGCAATGGCTGTCTTCGTCAGTGATCATGTCACAGTACGTTATTATGTTATCTATTAAGAGCCGTATGAAGTCAGTTTAGATAATACACAAATTACAGAGTAAACACTTTTTGTAAAACCTTTCTCGGCAAGATTCGCAGACTTTTATAAAGAAGGAGATAATGCATATTTTTGTAAAAGTCGGATAATATCGCGGGGGGGCTCAAAAACAAAATGGCGAGCTGAATGTGGCCCGTGTGCCATCAAATAGACAGCCTTGGCATACAATGCAGGGCACTACTATTTTGCACAATGAACTCGTCTGGGATAGTCGAGAGTTTCTTGTACGCGTGCTGAGGGGTTATATCGACTCCACAGGATCAAAGCTGAATTATCATGTTATATTTTAACGTCCTGTTACACTGATTCATGTCTATGGTTTATTCTAACCGTCTTACAGTGTATACACTTTTTCACCTTATTCTTCACTTCCACACTACATGTTTCAGCACTAAAGTGCCATCCTCAGGTGTCTTTATGCACGTTAAACTATTGTACTGCATGCCATGATGTCTTCATAAAGACACCTGAGGATGGCACATTAGTGCTGAAACATGTAGTGTGGAAGTGAAGAATAAAGTGAAAAAGTGTATACACTGAATTATCATATTTTATTTTTGGCCACTACCAAATTTTATCAGAATTCTTCACGTAATTCTAGAATTTAAACATGTGGAAGGACCAACAAACCCGACTTCGTTGTGCTTTCATGAGGTTCGACCAAAGAGTGCATAGCGAGGGTCCATTCCATTGCAGAGAGAGCAGGCACGAGGCGGTATAGAGACAAACTTTGAAGTGGTACAGTACTGTATTCCATCCGTCTGCTGTATAAGCGTGCGATACAGCTCACAGATTCCTTTGACGAGAAATTCACACCCCGTGGTCTCAGGTTCAATAAACGCAAGATCCTGCTGTTCCCCCTACTTAGGTAAAGATGATATTGTGACGATAAATTGTATTCGGTTTAGACTTGCGTGCGCATAATTTCGAAATCTATTATTTGCCATTTTAGCATTCTATACTCATGTTGATAATTTCTGTCTGTTGCAGATACGCACGTAGGGGCTACTGGAATCAAAGATAATATATCAGACTGTGATTTATGCTAGGGATATCAATTTATTCCGCGCAAATATCAGTGCCATGAGTAAAAGCGTAAGAATCTAGTAGATACAAGTAAAGAAGCTAATGTAAAAACAGACTAATTGAATATTCATGTCTATTAACCTGAATGAAGGATAACATACGTACATAATAATTCTTTTTGAATATGCAGTATTCAAATATTTATGAACGACAGTAAAGAAATAGGAAGGCCGCGCCATAACTCAAGCGGTTAGTTGATGGCCTCCCACCGCGGCGGCCTGGGTTCGATCCCGGGACTGGTCAAGTGGGATTTTTGGTGAACAAAGTGGCGCTGGGGCAGGTTTTCCCAAGTACTTCGGTTTCCCCTGCCAATATTCATTCCACCAAATTTTCCATCATCATAATCACCCGGGGCAGGCTACAATAGGCCAATCAGTGGCTGCTGTGCCGAGTGGACCTAGTTGGACTGCACCCCTCACTAAGCGAATTAAGAAAAAGAAAGAGAAATAGGAATTTCATTCACAGTTAATTTAACAGCAGGCCGCGCCATAGCTCAGGCAGGTAGTCGCTGGCTTCCCACCGCAGCGGCCCGGGTTCGATCCCGGGTCTGGTCAAGTGAGATTTGCTTCACAATCACCCTCACCTATCATCTGGGGCTGGTACAATAGGCCAGAAGTGGCCGCAGTACAAGGGACTTAGTCCCACCCCACTAGCAATAAAAAAGAAGTTAATAGCAAGAAGATTACTAACTTCTGCAACGTCATACTGCGTAGTTCTGCAAATTATACCTGACTAGACGGTGTCACAATACAGGAGATAACAGTCTTCATAGTCATCAGCACATAACCTCAAATCCGACAAGTTAATATCAGAGTAATTTTGTGGGATGCTTCCTACCATCCTGTTCAGATGCTTCTATCGCACGGTCTTTTATCTGGAAACTAAAATATTGATATGTTTCTTTTTGATTTGCGTATTCTATAGTGTCACGATTTAGGGATGCGTGATTTATTAGACGGGGTTTTAATAGGATGATTGGATTCATTGACACCTTCTACACCTTCTACCCCTGTTACAGGGATACCTTTACTCTTTACTTTATCTGTTACGTATTGACTTTTTCAAAATAACCATTTTACTTTTTGTCATTCCATAGTTAACCACTTTAACCTTAACTGTTTTATGTGTCAATGAAGCAATATATCATTTTTTCAGATAATACCTAACATTACCCCATTCACTCACTCACTCATGGAGCTGAGCCCTTCTTGAGAAGCCGCCAATTGGGCAGCTACTCAAGAACTTTCGAGCATTTTATGGAACCCGAATGTTCATTACCGTGTTCATAAGAGCCCTCCACTGGTCCCTATCCTGAGCGAGATCAATCCAACCCATAACCTCCAATTCTATAACTCTAAGGTCCCTTTTAATATTGTCCACCCACCTACATATTGGTCTTCCTAGTGGTCTCTTTCCTTCCTGCTTTCCCATCAATATCGTATATGCATTACTCCATTAACTCGAAGATATCCTCTTGTATAAACGGAAGGCAGCGACACCGCGTGACGAACCGTATGAATACAGTGTATACATATGTACGGTATATATTTACACATAACTTTACAATGACGCAATGACTTGCATATGTTCTCTTTGATTTAATGATGTAAATTTGAGAGTGAATATTAATTCAAATAAATTTCTAATAAGGCAGTTTCTTTCAAATCACGTGTCGAGTAAAGCTAGCCGGCTGACTGCATAAACAGGTGATGCTGATCTAAACATTCCGATATCTGACAAGATAAAAGACGCATTTCTACTTTACATTTGTTAAACTAGCGCGGAAAACCCAAGACAGTTCATTTCATATTCGAAAAGAATTTGTCTTTAAGGACATGGTACCTCTCTTTGTCTGCTCTGATTGGTTGCTTTATGTGAGCGTTCTCATTTTCTCGGAATCTTATTGGTTAAAGTATTGTAGTGGAGTAGGGTAAGAAACAAAAAGGAAAGGGAACTTTTGCTTCTTGTTTTGAAGTCCGACACTGAACCCAGGCTGCTGAAGTAGTGAAGTAGTGAAGTAAATGTGTGTTAGTAGTATAGCAGTACGCAGCGCTTTCAGTTCAGTCCGGTTTAGTCAGTGCCGGGGTAGCTACCTTGTGAGGTCGACTGCCTGACGACAGCACCTGAATAGTGACGTCGCGCTCTTAAAAAGGGAAAAGTTGCCCGGATCACCGGGAACAAAACCCCTTCGTGCTCTCAGTGGTCTTGGTACAGTAAAATTAGTTTGGGTCTTTACCCGGCAGAGAAGAAAAAACTTACATTTTTATATTAATTGTGTTCTACATATTCAGCATCAAAATGGTAAGTAAATAAAAAGTACTCAGTTATTTTTTTGAAATAATGACTTTCCTTACGTCTTATGAGTTTATTAATTATGTATGGTCCTCTCTCAATTAAGCGAAACGTTTGAGCATTTAAATCGTCTTCTATCCGAAAGTGTTAATTACGAAAAACACAAGCAGACGAATCTAAGGATGGTTAAGGAATGTAATAATTAATTTAAAATCTTATATATCTCGTGTATTTGCAGATGTTTCAAGAGTTTAACAAGTTTCACTGATTTTCATACTTATTGTCGATAAATATTGTGATATCCTGGATCCCATTTATCTTGAAGAAATTTAACTATGTTACGGTTTTAGCAGGAAGGTCAGAAAATTTCGTATCCTTAATTCCACATGCACTGTAACAAGAGCCGGAGTCAGTGAAGGTGGAGCCGAATATAATATTGATTTTTTAAGTTTTATTAAAATTTGTTCTTTGCTTGTTTAAGAAGTATGGGGGAGTGGAGATATAGCTCCATGCATTATAACCTCGGTAGCAGATAGAGGTGATTTGATAGTTTCATGGCCTGGTCGCATTAACTGTGGAAAAAGAACGTCGATAGCCATTGGAGTGAATGTTAAATGGGCCTCAGAACTGGCCTAGATACTGTTAAGAAGGGAGAAACTGCCCTCAGGAAACAAATTCCGATCGTCCAGCCTTTAGCCATTGGCTGACTGACCTAACTTGCCTCACGTGTGGTTGAAATAAAATTTCGTTACACGAAAGACGTAATGTAGTGATATTACACTTTGCTTCCCTTCGAGAGAGATGGAGTGAGGAAGAGGGGGTGGGGGTGGGGTAGAGGGAGTTTCTGTTTCATTGTATTGACTCAAATGTAGTTTTAATAATTTTTATCAAATTGAGATTGATGATGCAGAAATTAAACCCATGTTGAATATAAATAAAATACGTGATGAAGCTACGATTGTTTTCAAATGAGTTTAAAAATAGATTCTGGAGACCATGATTATACCTGGGGAAACACGACAAAGAGATGTTGACCTACTCAGGCCCAGATGTCGAGCTTCTCTACAGACGTGGGATTAATGAAGAGTCGTATGCAACTGTGATGTGCTTCAAAGCAAATACCAAACAGAATCCAGTGAATCATTCTCGATTTTGTGTAATAAACTTATCCATGACCCATTTTACTCTTTTCGCTTGTCCCAACGGATTTCCACATTTTTAATGGCTGTTTTGTTCTATTTTATTATGAGATCACGCGCCTATTTCATGCCCAAATTTTTCCTAGATTACGCGGCTACAGATGGGAAGGTGTTCCCGATCTGATTGGGCCAATATATCGCTATCCAAAACGTGTTGCTTCTGAGCTGAAGAGTGTAACAGGGAATGATATATATATATATATGCTTAACTTAGTGATCGTGGTATCTACAACGCAACTACTACATCTTTAGTCTAATATTATATTTCAGCATCCCGCTGCACGATGCATTATCTTTATTATTAGAGTACACGTCAATAATGCAACAATATTTGACACATACACGAGAAAATACGACACACAAAAACGTAAGTACACAGAATTGCAACATTTGATATATGAAAACAACACGATAAAAATTATGAAAATATTTATACTAGTCATACTAATAAACATTATATGTACATTGCAGTACCAATAGCCGCAAAAGCGTGCAACGACTGGTCATGAGATTGAACTAAACGTTGATGTGCATGAAAGGAGCACGGTGAACAAGTGCAGTGCAGTACAGTACAGTGGTATCCCCAAAGAGAAAAATCACTTGATGATGGCACATATGAGGCCGAAACATGCCGTAAAAACTAGAAAAATATATGTAAATCTACAAACATTTCAGAAATTTTAATAATCACTTTTAATGTATAAAATATACTTTCAGTGTCCTATTGACATTTTAATGATTTTAACATCATAAAGTACTAAAATACATATTTAGTGAGAGAGAGAGAAGAAAATATTATTGCATTATTGAAGTGCACTCTAATAATAAGGATTATATTTAATAATTTTAAAACTACGTTTACTTTTACTTTAGTAGCGCTTATGAGTCAAAGGTATTTCTATTATATGTCGAGTTAAAGTTGTAGTGCAGTATTCGTTGATTGGAAGGATAATACATGCAGCAAGGATTGACGTAAAGGAGATACAATCTTGAGTCTCGCATTTCATGAGAAAAGTGGGATGGTTGAAAGTCTTAGCCAGCTGGATCTTGAGTCGTTTAAATTTTCTAAAACTGGAATATATACCAGCTCCATACTGGTTATGTAAATAAAAGTTTATGATGATGGTACATCAGTACAAACATTATGTTTCTGGGCATTATGAATCCGTCCACATATCTCTGCTGGACCTTCCGATCAGCCAACCCAGCTTGGACATCTCTCCTATCTGGACTCCCATTATCACAGCAGAAAAAAAAATACTCCGTCAAGTGTAGATTGAATGGGAAAATTTGTTTTTCTTGTGTTGGTCCCATAAGGAGCATTTTTTCTCTCCAGTGATGATTTCTATCGTGATAGTCCTCTGGTGCTAGGCCTCATAGTTGTAAAGTTTTTAATAATTTAATGTTATGTTAGCTCTCGCAGATGGTTGGTGCTGTGCTTGGCTTGTAGACCGCATCTTGCTGCTAGTAGAGGTGTTCGTGGATGGGAACTAGCTCTATAGTTCGGGCCCAACTGAGTACGTTTTACCTGAAGACGGAAGCGGAATCCATTCTACGAAACGTCTTGTAAAAATAAACAGGACGGTGCGTTTAGATAAAGATAGGACGGTGGACAATGTCCAGAAAATAATATTTGTAAATACAATATATTTTAACTAATGTATTCTAAATTAGCTAAGTCAGTAAAACTGCCGGCTACAAGTTGGACGATAAGATTTTGACTTCCCGACAGGAATGTATCCCTCCGCCAGTCGTTCAGGACAACCAGCGGTCCGCCCAGCTGCGGTGAAGGGATATCGGAGGTCTTTTCTATTCAGGGATAAGGCCAGAGGGTGAAACTCCTCACTCACCTTTACCTACCGCAGAGGTTAAAAATGTTTCCAACTAAGTGGGTAGCACTCCTGCTCCATACTCAGAAAACTGTGGGTTCAAATCTTGGTCCAGAAATCGTCTATCCTGATTGAGGTTCTTTATAGGTTTCTCTAGTACCTCCAAGCGAATACCTGGATAGTGCCTCAAATTGATGAAGTACCGCTTCCTTCTAGATCCTCTGTAATTTATTATTTATGTAATTTACGTTATTGAAAGCACTGTTGAACAAACCAAGAACAGACAGAAATGTGTAGTTCGGCATTCCTTCATGTCTTCATGGAGTGATATTACGATACAAACAAAACTTTGCTTTCTTTGTTTTATTAGCTGAAGACGAAACAAAAGAAGTCGCAAGAGTCAGCATCCTTAAATTCTGAACCCGGGTATCAGTAGGAACTATCATATTCTCTTCTGCCTTGACGGATTGGGCTCACTGGTCTGTTCCCATCCAGAATTAATTATGACATTATGAATCTTATAAGCATTGGTAGGATTCCTTGCATGGAGGATCAGCCATTCTCGAGGACGCTACCCACACAGGGCAACGTGAAAAGAGAATAAACGCAGAAAGACATTCATGCCTCGAGTAGGATTCGAACCTACGGTCTCAGTGTTTAAGCTGGTAAAGATAACTGTTGCTTTAGATCGCTCGGATACTGAGATCAGCCACTACGGCCACTGTTTGGTCTATTGTACCAGCCCCTGATGATAGTTGATGAACCGGTGGAATGCGAATTGGCAGGGAAAACCGCAGTACTCGGAGAAAACCTACCCCAGTGTTAGTTTGACACCACAAATCCAACTTTGCCTGACCCGGGCTCGAACCCGGGCTCGAACCCGGGCTCGAACCCGGGCCTCCGGGGTGGGAAGCCAGCGGATAACCACCTGAGCTATGGCGCGGCAACAGCCAAGACTATCTGAAAGTATTAAAATTTATATGTACATGGATCAGCTATTTCAGATGGCTTCGTCCATTGTGTAATATGGAAATATTTTAAACTGGTGGTTCTTTAACATCAGTTAAACGAGTCAAATGGAACGGTGGCAGTAAATTGGGAACTGGAAACCAAGTGGAACAACGTGAGCGTGACCCTGTTTAAGGTAATGTCCCAGAAGTCTCCTAGACGAACTAACAAATATAAGAGAAACACTGAAGTGGTTACAGGCCGCATTGGAACTCAGGGTCTTTCGACTACGAAGCAGGAAGCTGGCCATTGAGCCGTGACGCTTCGGTATGATACATTTATGGCAATCATGTACACAAATATTTCTATAGTTTTCCTTTCATTTTACTACCGTAACGTAAATAACCAGAACAGAAGAATATATTCGTTGGGAAATTGTATATGCAAATTGTTTTACAGTCTGTCGTTAATATATGCAGAACTGGTCATCATTTTATTCATTTACCTGAAATATACGTAGTTAGGAAGGAGGCCGCAAGAAGCGCATACAGAACTGTGCTGGGTTATAACACTTGCTGGAGAGCTGAAGACATGGAAGGAGGCCATGTCATTAAGATTTATCCCGGGAAGACAAGTTATGAGGTTGAGAGGTTGAAAGAACTGACGCGTCGTTACGCTTAAAATGTTTTTTTTTTCTGGCCACCAGTACACAGAGCAGACAGGAAGAAGTGGGGAGAGAGAGAGAGAGAGAGAGAGAGAGAGAGATTTTCTTAGAGCTCAAAATAAAATTGTACGTCTGATATTTCGAAATTCTTCCCGTTAGCACGATTTCTCTAGTTATTTGTAGATTCTTTAGCGGACCTCCTCTGTGGTCTAGTGGTCAGAGTTCCTGCTTACAGATCCAGAGGTCCCGGGTTCGATTCCCTATGCTACCAGATTTTCTGAGATAATTTCTGAGAGTAACTGAGGGGCTATTTCAAAGAAATAGCGCCTCTGGGCTATAAAACCGACTTTAACGGCCGTGGGGAACCGTTGCCTTGACCACGTGACACCCTCTATCCTCAAAATTTGGCACTAACTTCGCCGACAAGCGGCGGTCGCTGGGACGGTATAGTTCGCTTGCGGACTACAGGCCACGGAGTTTTTTAACGACGATCTCAATAACTCGGGCTATATAGCGTTCACTGATTTGGTGATAGCTAATGATGAATTGGAAGGGATGTTGAAGGAAGCGATCATGACCGATTTTTAAGGCGCTAGCTTGACGAGAACCACGAAAAACTTGTCACGATAGTCGAGGGCCGAGATTCGAACCGAGCACCTTTCGAATGCAAGGCAGCAGTGTCACCGCTTTAGCTAACTTGCTTGCTCAGTTACATAATATTCACCGCGAGCAAATGGGTAAGTGGGCTGTGATATATAATCACCTTTGTGACATTCCTGCTCTCAATGAAATTTTCGCCACATGACAGTAATAAACCGTGTGCATGAAATGGAGCATGCGCAGAAATAACTGTTATGAAGATAAATTTGGTGCCATAAGATAAAGTCTCAACTATTTCGAATTCTTCTGCTCGCAGTATCACTGACAATTAAGAAATATGAAAAGGAGAAATTGTTTGAATGAAAGCCTGGAGCACGCCATGTTATGTAAGTCAGTGCCCAGCGTGAGGCTTTCCCTTTACAGACAAGCACACGTATCTATTCGCCGTGCGTAAAGCAACATGGTGGCATCCACGCACACTTCCGCGTAATCAGACGCGCTACACTGATTTTGGTGGAAAAGTTTCATTTTAGCCACGGATTTATATACAAGGTGTCATGGACAGTCTCTCATGAAATCACTGGTCACAAGCCGGACTGACGATCCAGACCAAGGGTTCAAAATTAAGTCTCTTAGAGCCAAGAACATAAATGTGTTTGAAAACAAGTTGCTAAGGAAAAGAATTGAAGCTAAGGTGAATAAATTAACCCTGTGTACCTTCCTACAAGTTTATTTCTACAGATTTAGCCACTACAATATATCTAGGTCACAAAACCACAGCCAACAGGCCGGTGGGCACATAAGATTATAAGAAATCGCAGAAATGCAAAGGAATTTAATTTTGTAGGTGTTACGTTCAAATACTTTTTAGGTGTATACCATCTTGAACTGTATAAAATTGAATATAAAGGGGATTATACGTCAAGATAAATATTTTACCGCAAATACATAAAACATGCATTACAAATATTGAAAATAACAAATAATACTCTGCATGTATTAGCGCCAAATTATAATTGTAGAAGCATTCCAGCCGTTATAGGTAGGTAGACAGACAGATTTCCATTTATATATTTTCAGGGTACAAATCGTCCCGACATTTATCGATATTTAGCATTTATATATATACATATATTATATATTTATATTTTATATTTATATATATAATATATTATTATATATAAATATATATATTTATATATATATATACTTGTGTGTGTGTATATATATATGTGTGTGTAGTCA